ACCCAGTAGTCCAAGAAGAAAAAACAGGAGTCATCTACAACATACAGTGTAAGGACTGTAATAACCTCTATGTGGGGTAGTTATAACCACTGTATGGTTCCTTATTGCTATAGAAATCTTTCATTCTCTAAAGGTTATATCTTCTCAAAAGTTTCATTTGCCATAGTGATAGCATGGGAGTGTGGGGGAGGGTGTGAGGGGGATGTGTGAGGGTGCACAAGAGGTGCTGTGTGAGTCAAGGAGAGTGGCAAGAGGTGCCAGGCAGTCAAGAGGGTGCATGAGAGGCACAGGTCAGGGACAGTGCATAAGAGGCACAGGTCGGGATTGTGCAAGGAGGTGCGCATGAGGCACCATGCAGGTTGGGGAGGGTGCACAAGGGTGTATGAGAAGTGCCACATGAGTCAGGGCGGGGGTGCGGGTTGGAGAGGGTGCACAAGAGTGCGAGAGGTGCCACGTGGGTAAGGGAGGGTGTACGGGGGTGCAGCATGGGTTGGGGAGGGTACGCGAGGGTGTGCAAAAGGGACTGGATGGGTCGGGGAGGGCATGCAAGGGTGCGTGAGAGACCAGAGTGACAAGTGCAGAGGGGCTGGGGGAGGGTGTGGGGGACAGGAGACTTATCCTACAACTTGCTGCCTTCCCTGCTGGCTTCCCCATTGACTTTCTGGGGAAACCAGAGAAGTTGCAAATGGTGATCACATGATTGCAGGGCACTTGGCAACTGGTCATAAGTGCATACAGGTTGCCAAGCACCTAGATTGCGATCACATGACCACGAGGGTGCTGGGATGGCTGGAACCCCAAGGACCAGTCATAACCACCATTCATTCAGTGCTGTCGTAACTTGGAATGGTCAGTGACCGAAAGGTCAAGGACTACCTGTATATATTATAATTATAATTACATAATATTATAATATATCAAGGGTATATATTTATTTTATCAAATTTGGAGTATCATTTTGATAAAAACACTTTCAAACTTGTTTATTTTTGAAAAATGTTTTGGATGAAAGAACAATTGAAATTATTTGGCTCTAATATAGTTTCAAATTGGATGCGTCGTTTAGAAAGATCTTCCAAATTAATGGAATCATATGCCCTAACTGCACAGCTTGATAATATATTCTCAAATTGGTAATTCCCTAGCCTCCTGGCATGTGAGGTCTATATAAAATCCTTTTATTAATTCTCATTCTCATTCTTATTCTCTCTCTCTCTCTCTCTTGCATGAAAGCAAAAGCTTTATTTTATTTTATTTATTTTATTTTATTTTATTTTATTGCCAGTACCTTTTAACACATTCTAGACCTTTCACTGGGAAGCACTGAAATAAAAAATTGAGCCTTACAAGGATTTTCATTTTAACAGCTGCAATATATCTTAAAATATTGAATTATTTTTAACTCAACTTTTCATTTCTTTGTTTAATTTCTTCTGCGTAGATATATAGTTACTAATAAAAAGGTTCTTAGCATTTTTGGTAATAGTGTTCCCTAAATATTTAAAGTCAGTTGATACTTCCCTTTGAAATTTGAGTGGGGAGGTATGAAAAAACATCAAATGTGATTTGGGGAAATTAACTGATAGTCCTGACACCTCTGCAAACTCCTTCTTGATATAGTTAGGTGCACAGGAGAAGTATGAGAGAGTCAGAAACATAACATCAATAGATAAATTGAAAAGACATGACCTGGTGCCTAATTGTGTTCCATCAATCAGATCATTGTATCAAAGTGCTATTGGCGGTGCTCGTATACCTAAAGTGAATAATAAAGGGTAGCCCTGCTTAGTATGCCCTAAATTCATAATAGAATCTGAATCACAATTCTTAAGTCTTATTTTACTTATTTATTAATAGATTTTGTAGATTTATAGATCTTATCTGATAGATTAGTTTTGCTAATTTGTATGATATTTAATAGGATGGATGGATGGATGGATGGATGGATGGATGGATGGATGGATGGATGGATGGATGGATCTAGATGTATATTCTAGATGTATATTATATCTAGAACTGAAATCATATTGATCCATATGGATCATTTTACATATAATTGGTTTTAGATGGTTAGTTAATAATTTGGGGTACAGATTATAATCAATATTAAGAGGTAAAACGGCCATGTAGGATGTCAGTTCCTGAAAATCTTTACATGGTTTAAAGATCAGAATTATTTTACACTCTTTCCAAGATTGATAAGGGATCTACCAGATGCAGGGTATTGCATAAAAGTAAAAATTCAGATATTAAGATCTCTTTAAACTCTTTGTAAAATTCTTTAAGAAAATTAATTGATTAACACTACTTAGCAGGATATAATTAGATTCAACTCCGGATAAATGGGGGGAGTGGGGAGTAGAGTAGCGCATACTGTGCTAATAATCATATAACTGGCCAGAATTATATCAGATTGTTATTTAATTTGATGTGTAGAGGGAAAAATTGGCAACATTTTTATCCCATTAAACTTCTTGTCCCATTTGGCCTTTAATTGCTTTGCCAAGGATACCTCTTAAACTTACTATGCAGATCTGAAACCATTTGGAAACAGATGTTAACAGCAGAACCTGTTATCTACCTTACTATGAATTGAGAAATCCACATGTACTCTCTTTTGTTCTATAAATGATCCAAGAAACAATCTATATAAACGAAGCACCTGAGTTTGATATCTAAATATATATAGGTAGAGACCTTTGTGAAAAGGGCAATAGGAAACAGAATCTTTAACGGCTTCAGTTAAGTCTTGCTATCTGACTTTCTCCCATATTGGGAAAAAAAATACATCTGCAGCACTCCAAAGCAGGAGCAAGCAACTTTTTTGATTTTGGCAGTTTAAGGCCTCACTATATGAGGTGATGTCCGTTTTTTTAAAAAATGAATGAATGAATAAATAAAGATGTTTTTAGCCTTTCCAAGAATTTTCACAATTATTTTCTTTTCTGAAAATTGGGAAGTGGAATTTTCACTGATAGGTTTGGTGGGGCTGTTTCAGGCTACAAACGAAGAGTATGGGGCCACATGCAGCCCAAGGGTTTCCCACCTCTACCTTAAAGCTAACTGAGGACAAATATACTTAGCCAGGATATCTTTTGTGGTCAATTCCTCTGTTTCTGTAGTTATTGCCTGAAAGCATTCCAAATAACTGACATTTTTATGGTCAGCTGTTCTTGCATGATGGCTCTAGATTTGAATCAATTGTTTTAATCCTAATTTAATTAATGTATGTTTGGATACTTTAGTTTATTGTCATGGATGTAATACTGTGTGTTTTGCAGTGTTGTAAATTGACAAGAGTGCTTGTGGAGTATGGTGGTATACAAATTTGATTGACAAATAAATAGATAAATGGCTTCCAGGTTGAAACTATACCAACAAAATGATATTCCAGCAATAAAGGATTTTCAAGATAAAATCAATAAAAAACTAGCAGGAGCCTTATATTTTTATACTAAACTTTTTAACCTAGCTTCAAGCATCTTCATGGAATAAATTAAAGATTTTTTGAATAAAACTTCCAAAGATTATTCTGACCAAGTAACTGCATGGTTTTCTCTGATACTGTTAAATCAATGAAAAGTGGCAGAGTTCTTGCCCAAATGCTAAATGTAGCTGCTCAATATAAATGCTGAAATGTTGGCAGCAACGTTGGCACAAAGCCTTCAAAATGCATTACTCTCAATAATCTATCTCACACAATCTGGTTTCATAAAAGGACTTCAGGTAACAGATGATATCAGTTGGTTAATTGACATATTAGATATTCAATCAGATCATCATAGGCTGTTTATATCAGTTGCATCACTGAAGACAAATGGCGGTTATTCAGACTGCTTGATTCTCCAGACCTCCATTTAGTGCAGGGTTCCTCAACCTTGGCAACTTTAAGACAGGTGGACTTCAACTCCCAGAATTCCCCAGCCAGAATTCCCCAGTCCACCCATCTTAAAGTTGCCAAGGTTGAAGAACCCTGCACTAAATGGAGGTCTGGAGAATCAAGGTTTTATTGTACTTCTCACCCGCAGTGATGAGCTTCCACTGTCAACCATACTTCAGTTGATCACAGAAGCTGGTGTTTAAGCTGATGTGCCTTATTTCTTTTGGCCATTCCTAATGTGGAAAGCCATTTCTCCATTTCTTCAGATGCTGAAGAACTGCTCGGCTGTATGAAACAACTTTGTGCTAAGGCTTTTTGTGCAGTCTTTCTCTGTTGCTGCCAGTTTAGAATATCAAATAAATTTATCTTTCCCCAAAAACCAGCATTTTACTTTTTTTGTTGTCAGTATATTGTACCCAAATAGGCTAAATTAAATAAAAAAGGAATCTTCCTGTTCAGTAGCCAATTATGCAGAGCAACTGATTAATCAGCAGCATTTTGTGGTTATTCCAAGCCAATAAAGTTATGAGTTGCCTTAGTTTTCTGCCTGCTATCTGTATATTGAGTTTCAGTCCCCTATGAATGTAACAGATAAGTAGTCAGCATTATTCTGAAGGAAATTGTCCTTCATTATCCATTTATACATGGCAAAGAAAAACCTATAGAATGATAGATTATGAAAACAGGGATTATGAGTGACCTTTAGAATCCATTAAAGCAGGAAGGAATAATAAAGATAAGCAGCTCATAGTGAACTGGTCCTACATCCAAGATGTTCACTTCTTTTTTTCAAATTTCAAACATGAATCATGTTCACAGAGCATAGACATGAGGTGGTAAAACTTACATTTTTGTAGAGAACATTCCTTGATTTTAATGAAAGAGAAGCCAACAGATAACACCTGTATCAAATCTTCTAAAATAGATAAATGTTGAGCTGCCATATGCTTGTTTTCTTGGTGCTATTTCTTGTTCACTTTTAATGTGTTAATCTTCATTTTGATTTACAGGGCTTCTTTGCTTCTGTGACCTTTTTTCACCTTTAGGGCTTGTCGGCTGTCAATATGCCCTGATTAATTGCATTTCTTGCTCAATCTTTCTTGGCTTCAGTTTTGTTTTTATTTGTTAACCTTTGCTAACTTTTATTGTGATCTTTCATGACTTTAACCTTTACTTCATTAACTGTCCCATAGGGCTCTGTACTGTATTTTTATTTTTCTCAAATATTTCTGGCTTTTTCCTGTCATTGCAGCAATATACCTCTAAGTAAATAACTGTGATTCCATGCCACTGTTGCGTAGAAACATTTTAAGTGTAACTTTTAGAACAATTTTCAGGATGACATAAGGGGGCTTGTATATTTCTGTCATCAGCATTCTCATTTCTACAGTGTATATGAGGAGATGTTCTTCAGTATGGTCTCTGAGATTCACATATTGGTTATAGGCGTGCTCATTAAGAACTGAAGGGATGTGGTGGGTTCCACAGCAAGTTGCATGTTATACATTAGAAATGTAACAGCAGCGTTACAGTTGAAAGGACAGTCCTTGTTAAGAAATCTTTAGTGTGTTATATATGTATATTATATTGTAAATCCCACAGACTTTAATGGAATTTGTCATCTGAATCTTATATCCTAATTCTAAATCTCATTGATTGGGATCATGCATCTGCTAAGCCATGATTTTTCAAACCATGGATTGTTTGATATGTCCCAGTTAGCTGGGTTCCCACAATTCAGTAAGAAATAAATCATGGTTTAATGGCATGTCCACACAATATGCTGAGGCAAAACCAATAAATCCTATATGGGATGTTGGCATATTGGATGGTCCAGCTAAAGTCCTTAATTCATTTTGTGCAATTACCAAACAGTGAAGCCATTGTTTCCACATTCTCATGGCTTTCCCCAAATCAATACCTAACACACAAACATTAGGAGTGATTACTTGGGTATTTCAAAAATGTCTTAATGGCTTGGGCACTTCCTCCAATATTTTTATATGTTGCAACTCTAAAGGAGATTCTTGATTATTCACATAATCTTGTTTGTGTATGTGAGTATAGAGAGAGAGACACGCGCATACAAATTTAAGCATGCAAATTTGTGTGATATTACTTGAAAGTATTTCATTTATTACTTTAATGTTGCATTTAGCTTAAAAACAACATTAATATCAATATTGTTCTTACTTTTGCTAACAATTTGTAACTTACCCTCCAGGAACTTTGTTGACCACAAACTGTATATTTTAATGTGCGGGAAATAAAAAAGTATTAAGTACAAGTGAAATTTAATGAACTCTAATTAGATACACATTTCAATTAGATTAAGCTTTTGCCCTTATTTTACCCATTCATTGAGTATGCTCTTAAAGGCAAGATAGGTTCTTTGCCTTTAAAAAAAAAAAAAAAACTTTTGAACTCCTGTCTTATGCTGTTTAAATTTCACTAAATAATATCCTTTACTAATTGACATAATGCTGCAATACTAATAAGTACTGAAGATCCCAGCTAGGCTTTTTTATATTATCAAGCCACTATAAAACAGAAACTCATCTTAGTATAAATATACATGTATCTACATTTTTCAGGATGTGTGACACAGGAGAAGGGCTATTTACCTTTCAGACAAGGGAAGGTGAGATGATCTATCAGAAGGTCCATTCTGCAACACTGGCAATAGCTGAGCAACATGAAAGACTGATGATGGAGATGGAACAGAAAGCACGGGTAAGACCCTTTCTATTATTGAAAGATAATTTGTTGGAAGGAAATAATTGTTGAAATAAAATCAAGAAACTTTATACCCTAACTAACTTAATTGACAATTATTAAAAAACTTATATTAGTTATATCAAACTATTCCTTGTTAAAATTATTGTTTTATTTATTAATCACGTTTATACATTCCCACCAATATTTTTTTTCTTCCTAATGAGGTGCAGGTTCAAAATGCATGTAATTGCATGTAAGTTTTGACTAAAATTATGCATTCACGATAACAAATCAGGACATTCAAAGTTTTAAAAGTGTGTTTTCTTTTCTCTATGTGGAATCAGGTAGATCCTTCTGTGAAACATAACCAGTGGTGGTAAAGATGTTGGGAAATGAAGCGTATTAGCTTTCAAGAAATCCCATTCATATATCCTTGGTTTGGTGGATCACTAGTTACCCAGATCCTCCTTATGTAGTTATTGTAAGCTGAACACTTAACTCCATATAATTGTAGAGCTTAATAGTTTAAAAATCAAGGAGTTTCCTATAGGTCATTTCTTAGCAGTTCTGTACTGTATATATTAAGCATCTAAGGGCCCACCTTGCTCTTTATTTTTATTCAGTTTTAAAAATCATATCAAGAAGTAGAAGGGTACTGAAAATGTTTAAATCATGAAGGTCATGTTTAATTCCAGGAAAACAAGGAGATTTTCAACAGAAAAGCCCATTTAGGGGAAAGTCAATACAGTATTCTCAGAGCAGGCATATGTTGTTGCACATTAAATTACTCTGGATTTCTTTTTAGTTTTCCTCTTGCCAGTTGTGAGAGTTGATCTAAAGAGCTCTGATAGAAAGGTAAAGAAAATATGGCCAGGTACCCTTTTCAAATATTAATTTGAATTTTATTTATTTATTTATTTATTTATTTATTTTTATTATTATTATTATTATTTAAATTTATTAAATTAGTTAATCATATATCCTTTTCTGATCTATTAAATACCACTTTAAAGTAACAAATGAGGTCACTCTACAAATCTATTATAAATCATACTGCTCAAGTTAGCTTCCATATTACTTACTGTCACAATTAGCCTAAATTATACAAATCAATAGTTGAAACCAAGTCACACATGGCACAGGTGCTATAGTGAAGCATAATTTACCCCATAGAATTCAGATATTGCTTGAAATTAAATATGTTATGTTATCTTAAGTCTCATTCACCACAAGTCTGCTATCAAGGCAACTCAACAAGCTTTGTACTGGCCTAATTTAGAATAAGTCACAATAACTATTCATGTGAAATATTGGAAAATTTGGATGCAAGAAAGCTGAAATATGAGTGCAATGTCATTATTATAAATCTTTATTAATGTAATGGAGGGGCAGGAAAAATGTAATGAATTTGAAGAAACATGGAAATCATGTACAAATTAAAGATATTCTAGACAAGCTGGCAGATATAACTAATGTGAGATAAAACTTCAAATTCCTATGTATATAATATGCTAATTTCCCATATTTACTTATCAATGTATACACTAATATATAATATATTTTGGCATGATTTCATGAATTGTGTTATGTGTAAATATAATTTAAAAACAAAGTCACACGTTGAATAAAATAGTAAAGGAGGAATTGAGCTTTTTTTTTTTTCATGCACAATAGCTAAAGATTTCTTTTAAAAAGAATTATTTCTTAATTAGGAAATCCTTAGCAGAATATCTCATGTATGACAGTAGTAATACTCCATTAAATGCACTTGCCCTATATTCTCTATTCCTGATGTTATGCTGACTTTGCCCAGAAAGGTTGTAAGGAAGAGGACAGAGCTAAGATGGTTATATTTTCATGACATCATCTTAAAATGCACGTGTAAAACATATGTACCTAGCAATGCTTTCCTTGTTTAAACTTTTGCAGTTGATCAAAATAAATATAATAATTAATATATGCTTAAAGGTTGTTTATTAATTGATTAACATGATGTTACATAGGTTTGAATTCATATACTGAAACAGACATTAAGGTTATGCCCTGATTAAGCACTGGCATAAATGAAGACCTGGATATTTAAGCTACAGTTTTGTACTCATCTATCTGGAAATAAGGCAGTGGGACTTATTTTTCAGGAGCCATACATGATTGACAAGTTAAGCAGGCCTCCTATTAATTAATTAATAATCAGAGTGAATCTCACAATCTCAGTCCACTGCAACTTTTGTTTGTATCCCCTCATGATTAGGCTGTAATAAAAAAAGTTTGGATGTCACTTTTATGAAACGCATTTCCATAAAAAAGGCTAAAGAAGAAGTGTCCAGTAAGACAGAGCGGCTGAGGTGGCAGAACAAACTTTGTACACTTTGTAATTTAGAAAGAATCAAATGGTTGCACACTTTGTAATTTAGAAAGAATCAAATGGTTAAGAGAGAACCGCTGTGGCTGCTACTACAGTGCTGTCATTGTTGGCTGCATCTTCAATGGCGTTAGTATGAGGAATAACAGTAGAAAGGGTAGGCTCGGGAAACAACCTGCTTCCCCCCCCCTCTGTAAATATGCCATCAGGTAACGTAATGTTCTCCATATATGTTCAGCTGTCTATGTATATTTCACAATATGTGAATATGTGAAAAGAAAAATGCATGGAGTGGGGCTCTCCATGGCAACAAGTGCATTTTTTTTAATTGGTTAACTAAGAAACAGTGAAACAGAGTGGTATGGCTGAGAGTCCTCTCACACTCTCTCTCGATGGTGTTTTGGGGCCAAAGGCACATTTGAAATGGGTATACCTATCTAAAACAAGTAGCAAACTTCACCTTCCTTTATAATATCTTCTTTGCAAGGAAGATTCCCCTCACCAGTTCTTTCTTATCTAATCACCTTCTTGTCTTCACCCTACTTCCTTTGCATTTAATTTTTTTTATCATGGAATCCATCTTTTGCTCTACCATATCTGCCATGGTTGTACAGCTGACTACAAGTACAAGGAGCACAGGTTAATGTAGAATTCCCGTAGACATGTAAGTGCTGGAAAACAAATATTTCTCAGTGTGCTTAATTTCAACAATCATACTGTGTCTTACATTAGAAGAAAGTGGTGGAGACTTTCCCATCATCCACAATGAAAACAACAAAAAGATACGATAGGTCTTGTTGTTGTAAGGAGAAGAGATGAAGGAATAAGGAACAGAGGAAAAGCTTATGTAATTCTAATGCTTGCGTCTTACTCAGGTGAATGTTACAGAATCTGTGGTTTTGTTATCTGAATTGTGCTTGGATGATATTTGGAATCATCACAGTAGGCAAACTGAATTGTGTCAAAGGCCTAAGATTTGCAAGGCATAAGATTTAGGCCATAACTGGATTTATTTAATTGATACATTTTTTTCAGTTTATGTAGTCACCCAAGAAAAATCTGTTATTTCCCTTTGTATAAATAATGCAAGCAGCAGAAATAGCATATTTATACGTTACCAAGGTAGCAATGAATTTGGTTTGTTTTGTACTGTCTTGTTTTGTTTCTTTATTAGACATAGAAACCTTGAAAGTCAATCAAGTGAGGACATTTTGAGTTTTCCTATAAACAAAAGTAACACTTTAGATTTTGATGTATTTGTTTTAGTTTTCAAATTATGCCCTAAGTAGAAATTTTAGCTGGCAGGAACAGTGGGGGAGAGAATGTTACTGTCCCAGTATGTTCGTCATATGTAATTGACAGCTTGATGCATAAGCAGTTACATTTCAAATCATATACAAGATACATATTAAAATTAATTTCCTGGGACATTTCTGCATAGCTAATATTGGAAGTCCATCTTTGTATATTATATATACCTTATAGTTTTGCCAAATATGTATATTTGTGCAATGGCAGAAATAATGGTCTACCGGTAATCCTTGGGTTACGTCTATTTGTTCAGCGACCATTCAGAGTTACGATGGTGCTGAAACAATGAACTTACAACTGGTCCTTGAAGTTCCAGCTGTCACAGCCCCCCTGTGGTTATGCAATCAAAATTCACACCAGCCCACATTCACGACCACCCAAATGATATGGTTTTGCAATAGCACTAGCATCCAGTAAGGCCTCTCACTTGCACCAAAGGATGCTAGTATTGCCTGTAGACCACTCGTGGCAGTCTCTCAATCATGCCACTGGCACCAGTGCTACCAACCAACCCACTCATGGCTGACTCCAATTGGTGGGAGCTGTCCGCAGGCATTACTAGCATCCAGTGATGTCATTTATGGGTCCTTCTACTGTGAACATGAAAGAGCTGCACCAAGTGGAGAAGCCAGCATGTGCCATGTGATGCAAGCAGGGCAACTCACTTCATCATAAGCCAAGCAAGTTGCACTGAAGAAGAAGATGGTCAGTTGCCACTAACAATCCACCTATAATCACAGAGGGCCCTATTGTAGCATGGAGTGTGGCAGCCATCTCAGGTGACAGATTCTAGGAGTCAGGAAATAATAATGCATTATAAAAGTGAGTTATGTGTTTCACCACTTGCCCTGAACCCTTAGGTATCCAGATGCTCTCAGTTACGGTGTAGGAGTACCAATCTGGTTGGCTCGTCTACATGGAATAGGAAGGAGTTCCCTCTGACTCTTGTCTCAGGCAGGAAATTGGCAGTTATTCAGTATGCAAGAACCATCATGATATTGCAGATTCTTCTCTTGAGCCAGAAAAGGACTAGTCATGTGAGTGATCAAGTGATAGATTTGGATAATAGTAAACACAACTGGGGACACAAGAGGATGAACTGCAGAACTGTTGAAAGTAGCAGTCCAATGTGTTCCATAACTAATTTCATTTGGAGTATTTATGTGCTCAGCCTTGATTAGCAGAGTGATTCTTTGCATTCCATCCAGTCTTGAATTTGTCTCAGTTAGTAATGATTTATTAGAGATAAATTCAAATAAAGGT